AAATTGTAATGAAAAAATCCTCCTGAACTCAGGGAGGACCTTTGGAGCCCTATCTTCTTATAGACCAGATGACCTGATTTTTATTGCAGCCCCAGTGTCATATACTGGTGCCTTCACTTACAAGCATCCCTAAAGGCGCAGCAGGAATTCAAAACAAAAGTACTTCAGAATTCAGGCATTTGGATTTTAAAATTTATTCAATTTTTATTGTCTTTACAAAATATTCAGCCTGTGAATATCTTTATCCACCATTTCTCTCTTAAGTTGACTCAGTGCTGCAGTACCTGAAAACTTCTGTTTCCCTTGTTGTGGAATGCTACCGGTGTTAAGATTTTTGAGGGAGTAGAAATTCGCAGTTGTTTTTTCTCTATGCATCTGTTTCTGGTCCTTGTTAGCAACAGCATATTAAGCAAAGCAGTAAGAGCAATAATGGGTTATTCCTGGATTTTAAGTTGCTCAGGCAAATCTTTCACTTTGGTGTCAAATGATGTCTTTTATGGCAGTTTACATTCCCCCTTATTATAAAGTGATGAGTAGCTCAAATTAAGGAAAATTAAAAGCAATTCATTAGATCCCCTCATATCACCGTTTATCTTCTTTTGCTGAATAAGAACAGAATCAGGATTGTACTCTTGTTTCAGAATATTTAAGAATCAAAAGAGAAAATTCCTTTCCTCAGCCTAAGAGCTGTGCTAAAGCTAAGCATTTATTTGATGATAGATGCTTATTATAATCACTCTCTAACAATTTGCTCAGCAATTAAAGTCAATCATGCTGTTTAATTTCTCTTAATTTGGATACTTAAGATATGCATTTCATATGAAACTCTTCCTTCAAAACTTGATTAGCTGTTTTTAATAATCTCCATTAGACTTGAATCCTTCAATACACATAATTTTATTTTTTTTCCTCACATTTATTTTTGCTTCAGTTGGATCACTGGTCTCAAGATGTACAGTACATATTCTTCTCTCCTCTGTAGATTTTTAATCCATCTCTCTCCACATTCCAGCCAGTCTCTCTGGACCATGAAAGCTGTCTACTTCAGTGTATTTGCACTAATTATTTTAGCTTTAATGTTAAGGTGCCACCAAAATTCCAAAGCGATGCATGAAATTCTTCTCATATGCTTTGTTAGCGCATAACTTGTTAATTGCAATTCCTCTTTTTCCACTGAAACTAAGGAATCCCATAACACTTAAATTCTAGGTACTTCACCACAACCCTGTATTAGGTCTGGCTGAGATGGAGTTTATTTCTCCACAACAGCCCTCACAGTGCTGTGCTTTGCATTGGTAGCTGGAAAGGTGTTGATAACATACCGGTGTTTTGGCTACTGCTGAGCAGTGCTGGCAGAGCATCAGCACTGTCTCTCAACATTCCTCCACACCCCCCAAGTCGAGGGCAAGATCCTGGGAGGGGACACAAGTAGGCCAGTTGACCCAAACTAACCAAAGGGATATTCCTGATCATATGACGTCAGCTCAGATATAAAAGCTGAGGAAAGGAGCAGGAAGGGAGGGGGGGCATTTGATGTTTACAATGTCTGCCTGCTGGAAAACCACGTGTGCTGAAGCCCTGCTTCTCGGGAAGTGGCTGAACACCACTCACTAATGGGAAGTGGAGAATAAACCTTGTTATTTTCCTCTTCGCTTGTGTGCGTACAAACTTTCCCTTTTGCTTTAGTAAACTGCCTTATCTCAACATATGAGTCACTTTTCCAGCTTATTTTCTCTCCCCTGTCTGGCTGGGAAAGGGATTTATGAAGCAGCTTGGCACCCAGCCAAGGTCAACCCACCACAGACACTAAGCTTATGCCTTTAAAAGTGAAGTTTCATGCCCAACCACTGTAGTCACACAATTGGGTAAAACAGTGGAAGGGCTCACGACTCCACTGAGGTGTCTTCTCCCTCATGCTGCAGTGATGTGGACCTCATGAGTGTGGTCTTGCCCACTACTAATCCTGTCAGGCAGGAATACAGGAATGTGGGGATTCCGGTCTCAGGTTTTGATAAAAGCACGAGCCTGTACTGTGTGACAGGCCAGATCCAGAACAATTTCTAGTGCATAATCAAGGGCCATATTTCCATGTCATTGTGATTTGAAAAAAAATAAAGGCTTAAGCAGGAAAGGAAACAGATGAAGCATATGAAATGTAAACCGTTAAGTAAACTTTTATTTCAAGGATACCCTTTTTTTCTTTTTCTGACCTTTTCCCATCCACATTTGATAATCTCTTAGATAGTATTAGAGAAGACAAAGGTTATAAGATTTATCTGATATACAATACTATAGCTGTTAAAAACCTTGAACTGCTTCCTTTAGAAAAATGAACAGAAAAGGAAAATAAAGAACTGCAAAAATCTTTTAAAAATGTATCTGTCTCCGGGGCTTTTGCTACTTGCAGCTTGAAACACAGATACAGAAAGCAGTCTTAGCAATTTCTTCAGGTCCTGACACACCAGCATTGTGTAGTTTATGATATTTTCTCACGTCAGGCCCAAACTTGCAGTCATCACCAGCTATGACACGTTTTTTTAAACAGAAGGCAAAAATTGATGGGAATGGATGAAGAATCTCAAAACTCAATTTATCTTTAACTTATTTCAACAAGACAGGCTTTCCCCTTTCAGTGCCAGAAACACTTCACAGATGAGTTCACCCGTATCTTTATTTATTACTATACTAGTGCAAAGGCAGGGTGAGGGGAGAAAAAAAAAAAAAGAAGAGACTGAGTGTGCAGGTTGAGGTATTCTTCAGTATTTAGAGAGAAAAGTGATGAAGCCTGCTTAGATCATTATTGCTTCTAAAATGTCATGGTATCCTGGGATGATGGCAATAGAAGTTGAGCAACATAGGATTTAGATAATCCTAGATTCAGAATCATAGGGTTAGAGGAGATTTTAAGAGGTTATCCAATTTATCTCTGTATCTCTAAGAAAAAGCAGCTTTTGCTGCATCATTTCTCAGTGCCTTGCCTGTTCTTAAATATCCTTCTTCAGGCAGATGCTGGACAACAGAATTATTTATTTTTTACCCTTACTGTCCTTGTCACTAGAAAACTCTCCCTAATGTTTAAAGAGAATATATTTAAAATGTTTGCTATGTGTCCTAGCCGTTATGAAAGCAGATAATAGACATTCCTCCTTCTGCTAGCAACAGCCTGTTTCCACCTAACATATTTTCCTTTCCAGATTAAACAAATATAATTCTTTGACTCTTTTTTTTTTTTTTTTTAATGAATTTCCTAGAGGTTCTTGATTGATTATAATACATCTGGGAATACTCTAGGAGTATGCCACACATTCCCAAAGCCTGGTATCTTCATTTCCCTTCACAATATCCCCAACCACAACCACCTCTGATGTTGGTCATCCCTCATTAGACCTCTTAGCTCGCTGAGTGATACAATCAATCAATTACAAATGTCATTTCACAATCTGTGGGGCAGATCACGAGCCTTTTTGGCTCAAACACAACTTCCTTGTTTCCAAGTCTGTAGAATTTTTTTGACTGTGTTTCTCACCCTGAATTTGACTTTCCATAGCCAAGTGTTTAGTGTACAAGCAGAGGTACTGAGATGTGTGAAATAATCTGCAGGTGTCAGAGTATCCTGCTCTTCTGGTTTTAATCATCATTCTTTACTTCTAAGTATTATCTACAACTCAGATCTTCAGGAAGCTAACATTAACATTTACTGACCAAAAATACAAATATAGATACGTTATAATATATATATATGAAGACAAAATATTTTTGTAAGGAAACTTATAAATTAAACTTATACCAAAGTGGCCTTACTTTTAAGATAGAGTGCTTTTGTCCCCCAGTGTATCTTTAGGTGGATCCAAAAGTTGCTCAGATCTTTGGACCAAGGTTGCCAATGAGACTATCAAGGGAGTCAAACGCTCACTGGGCCTTGGTGCTGCTGAAGCACTGCACTGCCCATGAAGCTAAAGAAAAGCAGGCCTGTAGCTGTTTGCTGAAAGGTTGTCCATTTCCTTAGATATCAATAAATAAATGACAGTTCCTACCTAACTTTTTTAGAGATACCTAAAGGTGCAGGCTGTCCACTGTTCCTTCTACTTGGTACCTCCTATCTCATGCTACTGACTCACCTCACAGCCTTTAGCCACCTTCTTTGATATGATCTTTGATACTACCTACTAATACCACTAATGCCACACTACTATAATGATTTTTAATAAAAATAATTGCAATAAACCTTTCAATATCCTTGTCTCTGTCATCACAATAACTTCCCGCTCAGAGAAATATTTGTTTTGGTGATCAAAGCAATAAAGCAAAAACATAGACATCAGCTCTCTGAAAGTCTTTCTGCCATCCAGAAATGCTAGTATTTTGTAAGCTGCGATTCCAAAGATATACATCCAGGAGCATAGCAGTTTATTATCTCTTTATCATTGCTGCTGAGTGATATCTCCCAAGCTGCCGCATACATAAAAAAATACTTGTGTTTCACCTTTAAAATGTGTCTTCATCTTTTAACTTTTAGCTCTCTCTTGAGAAACAATATATATTAAGAGATTACTTCATTCTTCTTCTCTTCCAGAAAAAGTCTTAAGCTTGAGTCTGTTATCACAGACTCATTAAAAGGAGTATTTTAAAAAGATCAAGATGATACAAAAATCCATATCCTTTTTCTCTAACTGTATTTTGTAAATGCCAATCCAGCTTCTTTTCCAGCGCATATTTAGGTGCTGTAAATATGAAGAACAGCAGAATTCTTTTTTTTTTTCCCTCAAACACAGATGCGGGGAGATTTTGTGTACTGTTTACTGTTTACAGGTGAAGCCTGAGAGAAGGAAACCCATGCTGATTTATTTTTCGAAATAATCTTGACATTGACACAGGGAAACAACTTGACTCAAATGGAAGCTATTTCAGAGAAGCATGACTTACAAAACAAAACAAAACAAAAAAAAGACAAGAGTCAGAAAGTTACCTTTTTACAACATCTTCTCCATTCCAACACGGGAGTCCATCTGCAGCCGCCAACTCGCTACTGCACAAGTGATCAGCCAGGCCACCGTAAAAGGCTCTGTAGAGCCGCAGGTGTCTGATAAATTCCCTGCACAGGGGAACACAAGAAATAACAGGCAGTGTCAATCAACAACATTAAGCTGTACTACTGTTGCGCATTTATACAGGAAAATAAGGAATGTGCTTATTCCATTACTCTCCACTGGTTTCAGTGATATTTTAAATCAATTTGTCACTTTCCTGTTAGATAAGTCTGATTCTTTCAGATACACTTTCGTAGTTTACAAAGTTGATATTCCTACTGGTCAAATAAAATAAAAAAAAACACCTGCTTTACTCATGCTCTGGAATGGGAACTATTTTCCTTCAACATGAAATTTTCTTGCATAGTTGTGATACTGTTTGCAATGTTATACTTGGGCAAATAAATGAAAAAATGTTCCAAAACAGGCAACATAGCAAATAAAAAAATAGGTGCATATGAATAAGTTACCTCTTTTTCAAAGGAGATATCAACTAGTCCCCTATACTGCTTTACAGATACTAAGACAAATATTTTTTAAGAGTTAGGCAGCAACTCAAAATGTAGGTAACATGGGTTTAAGATGTAGGTGTTAAATATTTAGTGGAGATTTAAATAACTGTCTGAACGATTACATCAGTTCCACCATGTGCTGTGCTGGTACTTTATCAACTATGAATTGTTATTTTAAATAACTGTCAAGACGCCCAGAGCTAATGATAAGGTTTTGTACTTAATTCAAAACAAATTAATTACTTTTTAGTTAGTATGTTCTTAACTGAACTGTGGTATTTAATATAAATTGTTTGCTTATGTATTGAAAATTTCTTCCTGGGACACTCCTTCCTGCTGTGAAAAATTGAAATATTTATTCATTTTGGTGTAGAACATCACACTTTACTGAGTTATCTATGACCTGCAGGCACATAGAAAAGCACCACCAAATGCTGTACTCATTGCTCTGTAATCCAGCAACCTTCACTTTATGTTTACTTGTTGTATAGAATCCAGAGTTGTGAAAAAATGCCACAAATAATCTATGTATTCCTCTATATTAGGTCAATGTAGGCCTAAAATTGTATAGGGAATTAAATTATTGGTTACTTCAAATTAAAACAGATAAAACATCAGTGATTACATACAGTTCATAATTTAAAAAGCCACATGCTCTTTCGTGTAATACAGCAAATATATTACATAAACCACAGTGATTTTGATTTGCTATACCTTTTAAATGTGATGTCAGCGCTTTAATAATTGTAAAACTATAGTTATGAAAAATCTTATGTATTGTTAATTTCGAGTAGGTATCATATAATTGCCTATGTGCAAGAGATTTTAAATATGTAAATATGATTCATCCACACGCTCCTAGCCATGAATAGTCACATCTTTTATTTCTCCCCACCCAACACTGAATCCAGTGTGCACAATGTGTTTGCAATTTCCCTATAATTTCCATTGAATGAGACTGATTTTGATTTTGTCTATGATTTACATTTACATTCTGGATGAAAACTGGTGTTTAGAGTCCTCACAAAGTGAATAGTTGGAATTTCCTCTGAAGAAAGATATATATATATAAATAAATAAATATAGCTGGCATAATAGCTTGTCACAAAGTGCATTTTAACAGAAAGGTCATTCAGTTTATTAGTAAATACAACCTGAGGCAAAGCTAAAGTTAACAGAGAAGTAATAACTGATTTCAGCCCCCACTGATGTCTGACCAAAGTATTTAGAAGGGTGGATGGTATGAATGTCAATTTTCACATCATCATCTTCAAGACCAGATAGCATGTAATTATAGGCAGCTGAGCACAAATGTGCAATTACAGTCAGTGGAAGCTGAAGATACCTTTTATCTGTTTATTTCTAAATGTTTTTCTTTTTTTTTTTTTCTTTCTCATTCCCAGTTCTAAAAGCTGTCTGCAATATGAAGGTCTGAGGAAAAAACATTATATACTTTCAAGTTTGTATGTTGCTATGGAAGGGTCTGCTTAGCCTTTTTTAAAACTTCTCTAGCAATTTTTTGGCATGAAAAGCACGGAGAAATTTCTTTTTCTTCTTGTACCACATAGGAGCAGAAAATACCAGCTTAAGTCCAATGGTAAAAATAATCCAGGAATAGTTCAGGCAGAGGCAGTCCACCATGTAAAAAATGTAAACTTTCATCTGGAGATGCACTTGAAAAACATTAGGAAATCAGGAGTCACATATTTAATGAAATTTTTTTCATTCATTTGTTTTCCCTCAGATAACTGTCACTCATAAAGTCTCCAGTTTGGAGAAGCCAATCCTTTGCTGCTAAAGCCTGTGAAAGTTGCTGAGAGCAAGCTGCTGCCAGAAGTACACAAGCAGTAAATAAGGCGGAGTTAGAGAAGAGCACTTCCTTAAAAGCAGGCTGCACACATTTGCTGAAATCTCTCTTCCATGCGAGGTTCTTACAGTTGCCATGGGAATATAAAGTGAAATATAAAGTGACTGTGACTAATAAGGAAGGAGGTGATTCAGGAGGCAGTAACTGCAGATGATATCAACTATGAAGCTGTTAAACTGAAATCTGCATCAGTGGATGTAAAACTTTCCCTTCCTCCTTTCTGGTGCACAGCCTATGGCATGCTATAAAGGGTCTCCAGAATCTCAAGGCAGGAAGATATCAAGGGAAAACAATGTTCCTTTGTGTTGCCAACTGTCTCTCCTGCCCCTTAGGGTCTCTCGGGCAATCTCCCTTAAAGCCAGTCCAGTGTTCTGTCTTGGTTTAAGTCACATTTTAGAACATGGTTTCATGCTTGCAGAGTGCTAGAGATCAGAAAACATCAAGAACTTGCTTAGCTACATGTAACTGTGAAACACATGGCCGTATAATGGGTATTCCCTAATGAACTTCCGTGCTGGCTAAAGCAAACTCCTCTTTCTGTTTCCATAATGTTTTCCAAAACTTGCGCTATGTATATTCCGGTTTGGGGTTTTTTCTCCACTGTTTGCTACATGAAGGTTGTTACGCTAAGAAGAATGGTCTGCCTTTGAAACTCAGAGGCACCTTTTCTTCTCCAAACATCAGGAGTGAGCAATTATTCCCTGCAATTCTCTCACTTCTGTTTCTTTCTCACTGCAAAAGAAAATGAGAGGAGAAAGAGGCAAAGAAAATTTCTCTGTATTTCAGCAAACACTGTGACAGAAATGAAATTTCTGATTTTACCTTTGCACTTTATTTGCATAAAATAAAGCCTTTAGTCTCACTGCAACGCTATTCTTATGTCTTACCACACTACTACTACTTACAATCATTAAAAAGTTGATTAACTTGTCTAAATAAAGACTGGTCTTTGAAATGTTTTCAGCTATGCAGGATACCTGCAGAAAGTTGAAAGATATGAAACAACTTACAGGATACCTGCATCCTTCCTGGCAGAAGCAGATCATTTGGGATACCCCAGCATGTCCTTGAGTGGCACTGGATGCTTGTAGATGCATGGGCAGCTGAAATGAGTTCTCATTTCCACAAACTACAACAGCAGCTTAAACACCTAGCTCGTAAGCAGTTAGGCAAATTTCACCCTGCAGTGCTGCACTAGATGAAATCTCCAAGCCTTTGCAGTCACCTCAATTCGCTACATACTGGCAAAAGAGCCAGAGAAAAAAATTAGCAGGTCTTGCTTGAACAGGACTTTCAAGATTTAGTCCCAGATGCTTAGTTGTCTCATTTTCTACACTAGAAAAGTATGTAAGAAAAGTCATTTTTTCTGCATTATCGACTTATACAAATAGTCTTCTCTAAAAAGCTACAGTCAGTTTTTGTCAGATTTAGTACTGCCTGCTGATGTTCAAAGTTAAAAGTATTTTTAATAATTACACATAAAGATACAGCTAACATTCACATTCTACCAATGTTATCCACTCAAATACTTTAAACCACACCAAATGACTCTGGTCATATGTCCATTATTTCAGAAAACAGAATCTAGTCATGAAAGTACTCAATCCAAAATGTCACACAGTAGACAGTGTTGCTGAAATGTTTTATTCTTTGGAGTCTTTATTCTCTAGTAATGCATGCCATTGAATTGAATACAATCTATTCTGTTGTAAAATTAATGGCTTACTTTAGTCTTTCTTTTTGGCTATAAAACTAATGTCTTACTTTCTTCTATTGGTGAGTGTTTCTTCACTGTCTCTTGAGAACATCTTCAACACTTGATTATCTTTGTTCTGATCAAAGGAGCAACCTGGAGACTGCGTAGGCTTCCTTACAGGAGGACCACATATCTTTTTAACCTAAATGGAAAAAAAGCAACAAGAAGAAGGAAAGAACGCAAATAAACAATAATTATTATGTATATCTCAATTCAGTTTAAAACCATTTTAATGAGAAAGATCTGTAGACATTAAGCTAAGAGAACCATAATTAATTATCATATTTCTCAACACTAAATCCGTAATGAATGAGCAAACACATAATTAGTCATTTTATAGTTGGAAAAAAATAATAAAAGCACTCCTTTTTAAGGAATACCAGGTGTATAAGAAAGTCACTACATGTATTTTATTGATTGTGGCTTTTTAATTTCCATAAGGGAAGTGTATTGCTATGCAGACAGTAAAAGTAACCTCAGAGAATATGATGTGTTGTGAAAAGCGACCTATTTCCATTTTTTCTGTGGTATATCCCAATGACATTTTTAATATGCACTGAACTTCTTGATTTCTTTCAAGGTTGATAAATTATTATGGCATGTTCAGTACAGTTACACAGAGCATACAGTGAACAGTGAGCATAGTGGAAACTTGCATTACGATGTTGCAACATGTTAATTTAATGATCCAAGATGTAAGTTTAATGATTCGGACCACAGACGTTGAAAATATCAAGGCATTTTATGTTTGTCTTTCTGATCTGGATGTCAATAGATAAAAATTCAAATGAACTACCGTCTTCTTCTTTGTAAAGTGTAATATTGAGCATTTTGTACAATCGAGGATATCAAATCGTGTTCATAGCTCATTACCTAGGCACTGAATAAAAATAATTAGGGCCATATATATTTATTAAGTAAGAAGTAGTTCATGCTGGGAATCATATCAGACAAGATATTAAGCAGATCAAACAGTATGTATTTTGTGCAAGGTAGCACACAGGCACGGGTGAAAAACTAACACTGTGTGTGATTTATGAAAACTTGGTTTCAACAGGTAGTCAACTTTTTTAAAGGAAAAAGGGAGAGAGGAGATTGCTGTTGGCTCTAAGACAGGGTCCAATTTTTGAAGCTACCATGAGAAGGAGGAAAGAGTGTGTATATTACACAGTAAGGATTATTGTTTCCTTTCGCATTTTATATCCCCACATGTAGGAACAGAGAAAGCAAATAAATCTCATTTTCAAGTTATCATCACACATAAAAGGGAGAAGTGCAAGTCCTAGGGACCATCTTTCCAACTAAGAACTGCTGTAGTATTAATTAAGAAAGGCATTTAATATTTAAAATAGAATAAACACATCTAATTTTGATGAGTTTGTTGTTATGCACGGTATAAGAGGTGACAATGTAAGACTCATTGAATGTATTTGCCTAAGCCAGTGAAAAGAAGAACAATCAGCATCACTGCAACACATGAATACTGAAAGCAAGACTGAAGTCAAAAGTGAACAGTCCTTCTGGGCTGTGGCTCATGTCTTAACTCAGGCAGTCAAGTTATAGTTTGAATCCCCTTCAAATGAGGTGCATGAATTTACCTGCAAGACAATTGTCTCTGGACATATGACTAATGTCCTTTAAGGGAGTTCACTTCAAACAACACTTCAAGTATTATTTTCACCATTTCTTATCAGAAACAGTGTCTCTTTGGGCAGCATCTTACTACATTTGCTCTAGTGCTCAAATTCGACTTCCAACCGCCCTCCCACTATTTCCCCTGATAGCTCTTTTTCAGAGCATATTATAGCACACTCCACCAGCTTAACTGGACTTTCATTTCCCCCTCTTCAAGTCTCCACACTTTTTCTAGGCTTCATCCATCCTTATGTGAGTTTTCTCCTTCAGTGCTGCACTCTGCCAGCCTCTGCAGCAGCCAATCCCATCAGCCAGTCTACACCAATATAACGCAGAAACACCAGAGGCACAAAATATTTTCGTCCTTTTACTTGTCTCACTTTTCTCCTATTCTCTTATTCTCACAGATGTGACACAGAGAGCTTTATGTTTATGATCAGCTTTTATGACAAAGCTGATTGTTTGAGTTGCCTCAGTTCCAGCTTGCCATACACTTTACTGCTCTCTGTCTTACCAAGAATAAAAATAAGGGTTTAACAGGGAGTGAGAGTCAGATTGAGATGGCAAGGAGTCTCTGTCTCATGACAATGCAAGGAAATTTGCATTCACTGATACATGTAAATACAAATCTTAGTTTCAAATATAAAATCCTTCTTAAAAATTAATCTTGGGTAAAATTTATATATGAAAAAAAAAAAAAAACATGAAAAGCCCGTATCTGAAATGTCTTTTTAAGAACTTAAGATTTCTTTCCCAGCGTTTGAAAATTCTGAAAATTCTACTAAAAAGCATTTCCACAGCATCATATACACCTCTGCCATTCTCACAAAGATATGCATGACAGCAATCATACTGCTGAGAACTCAGTTCTGTTAATGACAGGAACAGCACAAAGTTAGCTTACCAGTCTTTAGCAGAGTCACTCACTTATTCATACATAGTTTCTTCAGAATGTGCTACTTCAGCCTGTACAACAGTGATGTCATCCTCTCTGTTACCTTCCTCGTATCTCTGATGTTCAAATCCCAGGCACCACTGACTGACAGACTGTGTTGGTTCTTCTTTGTGTGTTTGGTACCTCACGCATTTGTGGCTCACCCAGCTGAACCCAACCTTGGTTTTTTTTAACTCTTCAGTAGCGTCTGTCACTTCTGTGTCATGTTTAAGCCATTAACTGTATGTGCATGACAAATTCACTTTTGTCTCCCACACTAGCCTAATCTTCATTATCACCTGCTTTCTTCAGTAAACTTGTGCACATAAAAAGGTCATACACTCTTATCTTGCCTCTAAGCCAAATAATTAATAACCTAAATATTTCAGCTTCCTTTTTCACAGTACAGGGCTGATGACAGTCTAAAAAACAGATGAATACAGTTTCCATAATCATGTCTGCTTCTTTTTTTCTTTTTTTTTTTTTTTAATTGCATTTTGTATCTCAGGGAATGAGTACATGTGGTAAGTAACACCATCTAGTTCCATTTCCTGTTTTTTTTCTGAAGGACTACAACTATATCCATTAGCTACATTTTTTCTTAATTTTTAGTCTTTGGGTGCAAAATTAACCTTCCAAGTAAGAATTCATTCAGTGCTGTTATTGCTCATCTTGAGAGGCACTGACTGGAATCATAACTTTAAGAGAATGAACTAATGAATTACCATTTTGCATCAATATCTGACCAGAATGCATTCTTACTACCTTACAGTTTCACTCGAGTGGTATCCATTCTGAATGCTTCCACAAACTGAACAGGTTTTTTTGGCTTCAGAAACTAAATCACTGAAGAGTGTGCAAAATGATCCTCAAATGGGATCAAAAATACCCTGAGAAAAGTGAGAATAAAAAATCACCAGAAATATTATTCAGGAGAGAATTACACATCTCACTGAATTTCAGGAAGAATTAAAGACTGCTACCAAATTTTAAAATAGACAAGGCTCAGCAACTTACTAAACTTTTTTCCTTTTTGGTGAAATATTCTTAAATGCCACATAATATTTAAGGACATAAAAAGAAACCTCATAAAATTATAAAACTTCTGATTTTCACAGTTCAGAAAAACCCATTGTCATTATACTCAGCATGTTGCTATTATGCACAATTTGTATGCCACAGTATGATGACTGGGTTAATTAAAAGCTCTTGTAATAACCACGCAGTTAAATTACAATTAGTGCTGCACATGAACTTTATGGCAGTTTGATTTTACTTGGTGCAACTCCTTAAAATGTCAACTTACAGTTACTTACAGTTTGGAAATCTGGGGCATCGTAAACCTTTATATTTACACAGGACTGGACTGTGATGGAAGCATCAGATCAATAATGGTCAGACATGGTTCTCTAAGTTCACACACTCAATATGAGAAATCTGACACAATCTTTGTTTTGGTTTTGGTTTCTGGGGTTTTTTTTCCCACCATAGAAATTATTCTTTCTGACCTCAGCATTTCTACTGAAATTATTTTACATCACATGACTAAAGCAAACTCAATGCACAGTTCTATAATGCACTTCAAACTAGATTTGCCAAGTGTTTAGTGATGCTGCTACTGTGGCAGAATTTGGACTCAAGAATCCTGAGACCTTCTGCTTCAATTTGGGTCATAGACTGTTGTGAAATACACAGGAAAAATTATCATCTTCTACTCTTGCAGTGTGTTTATAGTCTTTTTCACTAGTTCTTACTGCTGTGCACAGAGGAACACAGAAGAAAAAACTTCGCTGTATACAAAATCTCTTGGGCTTAGACTCAGCTCTAGCTGGGAACCAGAACCAAGAGTCTGAAAATTGCCATTTTCTTTATGCTTAACTCTTCTATGCTTGTTTTCATAAGTTTAGCAAGCACTGTAAGTTTTCAATACAATTTTGATACAGTACATATGCCAGATTTCCTATAAATGTGTCAAGTATTCGCTAGATTGATCCAGTCTCTCAGACCTGCAAGGTATCAGAGTAGCCATAGTCCATGCAGCCATTAAAAACTGATTTTATTTAATGCATGTTTTAGTTTGTGATTAGTCTGGTGGCTTTCAGTTCTAGCTGCCAGATCACAAATTTGCCATACCCCTCAATCACTCCTGAGCAAACGGACAGTTGACATCTAATAACTCTAAATAAAGGCAAGAATGAGAAGGCAGGCTGGTTGAAAATACATTTGTTACAAATAAAATTGTGGTTAACTTAATTTTTATTTTCTTCTCTAGAAGTACACAAGTATTTCTTTGGGAAATAGATTTTTGATGAGTCACAAGAATTTTCAGCATCAGATTACTAATCAGACTACCCAAGATATTCATCCAGAAAAGCGATGAATTAAGCATTTATGAAGAATCCTTGGCTTGTCTTATTCCAGTTCAACCACAAGAGGGAGTATCAGCATTTCAGTATTCCCAAGCACTTCAGCACCCTTCTATCAGTTAAGTTTTTTTTCTTGGAACAGTTGTTCATTTAATATCAAAATTCCGTTTCCAAGAAAGATGCATTTTGATATGTGAGAGGGTGCAC